CATTGCTTGCTTACCCCACTAGAAATGCGTTGAAGTTAAGCAAAAATGAGTATGCTATTGTGCTTTTTGGAAATCTGCTTATGACCGAAAATTTCAATTTGAAAAATTTCGCTTTAAAAATCCCTCAATCGAAGCCATCCATGGAAGGTCAGTTCCTACACGATTTAAATTGAGAAAAGTAGAGTGAATACAGGAAGGGCTGCAATGGCCAGAAAACAAAAAACTAAAATCTTTGAATCCGCTCGGCAATCGGTGCGAGGATTCTGCACATGCGGCATTACTGAAATGATCCGCCGGATACGGCCGAGCTATTAATCGAGACTGCAGCAGTCATACACTTGCTAGTGGGATCTTATCACTGTCATAATCCAAAGAAAAGGTGAACTAACTCGAGAATGACCCTGATTACTCAAATTCACGATGGTGTGACAGCTGTGATCGAATACCAGTGTCCAGAAACTATCCAGCGTTGAGGTTTTCGGCCATTCGGTGACAATAAATTCACTTTTTCGCCTAAATCCGTCCACTTCAACCGCATTGATATAAGTGTAATCCTTGCTTTCACCATGTAACGTTTGCAAATACGGTCGAGCATGATCGGCTTAAATTTGATTTGCGTTTTGTCAACAATTTATAGAAGACAGAAAATTGTCCTGAATTAAATTTTCTCAAAAGGCGCAAAAAAGTGAAAAACCGTGCGAAATTTAGGTAAGAACTTACGAGGTACCACCATCACATCCCGATTTTTACCTCGATTTTCTAGCCGATGTCCACCAGCGCAATCACCTATCCTCAACGTTGGCGTTAACATCAACAACAACTGCAAAACAAAAATTTTTAAGTTTAAGGAAGTCTGATATTCTCACGGCTTGCTAGTCTGATATTGTGTTCTATGACTTGTGACTCCTAAATCGATAAAGCCTCTGAGGACAGGGAGAGAGGTTGTCAGCACTTTATGTTTCAGTCCACTGTGGAATCAAGTAGACACGGCACACTTCGCATGAAGGACAGTGGGACTCTGCGTAATATTAGGAATGTACAATAGCTCTAGCAAGAGAACGCGCAAGCATCCCGAAACACCAGGAATATCAGATTT